ATTGAGCCCACAACCCGGGCATGTGCCCTGACTGGGAATCGAACTGTGACCTCCTGGTTCATAGGTCAGTGCTCAACCACTGAGCCACATTGGCTGGGCTCATGGAGCTCTTCATTTGTGAACTTTTCTGTTTATATTATACTTTGATTAAAAGCTTAAAATAGCACTACTGTGGCGGCTTAAAATATGCCCACAAATTGACAGTCTCTTTAAAATATGTCTGCAAATGCTCTGACACACCCCCTGAGTAAGATTTGGACTCAATTCCAAGGAACATAAAAAGGGGAAATGATACCATGTGGCTTGGGAGCCTAGGTCACCAAAGGCACTTGTTCTCTCCTAGACTGCTGATCTGGCATGAGAAGCTGAGCCCCCGGCCAACAGCCATGAGAGCGAGCCTTCCCGCCCCAGTCATGCCTTCAGATGACTGCAGCCCCAGCTCACATCCTGCCAACTCGTGAGGACCCTGAGCCAGAGCCATCCCGCTAAGCTACTCCCAGATTCCTGGCCTTCAGAAATTGTGAGATAATACACAGTTATTGCTTTGAGCAGCTAAGTTTGGGGGATAATTCTTTGCACAGCAATAGGCAGTGACCTAGGAAAAATCACCCTAAAAAAGGTTGGTTGAGCCCTAACCGGTTTGGCTCAGTGGATAGAGCGTCGGCCTGCAGACTCAAGGGTCCCAGGTTCGATTCCGGTCAAGGGCGTGTACCTTGGTTGCGGGTGCCTCCCCAGTAGGGGGTGTGCAGGAGGCAGCTGATCAGTGTTTCTCTCTCATCTATGTTTCTAACTCTCTATCCCTCTCCCTTCCCCTCTGTAAAAAAATCAATAAAATATATTTAAAAAAATAAAATAAAATAAAGGTTGGTTGACTGACGCAGACTGCATCATAGAACCTTTTTTTTTACCCCCTACCTTCTTTCCAAAAACCTGGACCCTCATCAGCATCTCTCTGGGATGGAGATGCCTGTGAGCTGAGGACCGCATGGTGTGCATCCAAATTACTAACCATCTTTTGGTGCCAAAAAGGAGACAGAGTTCATGCCAGCATGAGGAGCCATTTATTGTTCCGGGTTTGGGCCCCCACGTTTTGGGGGAGTCCCCCCACTACTTCCTCCTCCCATTGTCCCCGTGGACCCCTCAAGTGGCAGGTTGCTGAGTTGATCATGGAGGGAGCACATCTTCAAGTGTAGATAGTCCAGGGAGGCCACCTTCTCCCTGCAATGACAGGCAGGGGGCGGTCGGTGCTGGTGGGCCCGGGTGTCAAGGGGCTGGTGGAGGGGGTGACTCAGGCCCGACCCCCAAGACCTCACCCTCCTCCCATGCCCTCAGCCTCCTTCCTCACTCCGGCTTCATCTTGTCCGTCAGCAGCAGGTTCTTGGCCCGCAAGGCTTCGTCTTGGGCCAGGCGAAGGGTGGAGCTCAGGGCCTCTGCCCTGACGTGCTTGGCCAAGGCCTGGCGCTCCAGCTCCTGGGGAGAGGAGTGTAGGCGCCGCTGGGCTTGCCTGACTGGGCTGGGGGTGGAGGGAGCTGGATCGCGGAGGGCCAGGGGCAGGGGCCCATGGGGCCCACATTCCTCCCTCAAGGTACCCTATCATGCCTCCAGCGGACCCCAGCGTCCCACAATGCACCGGCCTTCCAAACTCCCCTGTGTGCTGATCCTGGGTCTGCCCCTCTGCCTGTCCCCAATGCACTGGCCTTCTGTGTCCCAGCAAGCACTAAACCAGCATCGGTCTTATTTTCCCCAAATGCCCACGGAGCATCATGCCTTGGATATGTGTTTGGCCCCCAGAATTAACTCCCCTGTGTGCTGACCTGGGTCTGTCCCACTGCCTGTCCCCAATGCCCTGGCCTTCTGTGTCCCAGCAAACACTAAACCAGCATCGGTCTTAGTTCCCCCAAATGCCCACAGAGCATCATGCCTTGGATATGTGTTTGGCCCCCAGAATCCCATCACGTGGTGGCCTTCTGCATCTCCTAAGATCTCCCATCTCCTTAGCTACAGACCAGCATCTGTCACAATAAGGTCCTTCGGGCTCTGGTCCCCTGTGTCCCAGCATGCACTGGGCCCCTTGGCCCATAGCTCTGCCACACCAGTGTCCCACACTGCCTCACTCGTCTGTCTCACCCGCTACAACTTCTATCGTTAGGCCAGAGCCCATAAGACATCAGTTCTCTGTGTGCGCTACATCAGGACGGAAAGTTCCATTAGCTGTTGGGCTTGAAGTCGGTGGTGGGACGGCCCAGGCAGAGCTGTGGCCCCACCTCCCAAAATGCACTAGTTTACTGCGACCTGCGTTCCCTGGCTCCTCTGTCCGACCTCAGTGACCCCGTATAATATGTGGCCTCTCTTACGACCTACAGAAAACCAGGTTTGCATCCTATGAAGCTGTAGGTGTGTCTGTCTCCTGCGTCCCACAGTGCCCCATACCCAGTGTCCCATCATGCTCTGGGCAATGTCCGCCACCAAGGTTCCCTAACAATTGACCAACGGAGCCCTAGCCGGTTTGGCTCAGTGGATAGAGTGTCTGCCTGCGGACTGAAGAGTCACCGGTTCGATTCCGGTCAAGGGCACATGCCTGGGTTGCTGCGGGCTGGGCTCAATCCCCCATAGGGGGTGTGCAGGAGGCAGACTATCAATGATTCTCTCTCATCATTGATGTTTCTATCTCTCTCTCCCTCTCCCTTCCTCTCTGAAATCAATAAAAAAATATTTTTTAAAAAATAATTGACCATGCCGAAACCGGTTTGGCTCAGTGGATAGAGCGTCGGCCTGCGGACTGAAAGGTCCCAGGTTCGATTCCGGTCAAGGGCATGTACCTGGGTTGCGGGCACATCCCCAGTAGGAGATGTGCAGGAGGCAGCTGATCAATGTTTCTCTCTCATCGATGTTTCTAACTATCTCTCTCCCTTCCTCTCTGTAAAAAATCAATAAAATATATTTAAAAAAAAAAATAATTGACCAATGGTCTCCTGTGCTGGTTTCTAAAATGTCCACAAATTGACATTCTCTTCAAAATGCCTCTAAATTCAACCTTCTAAACTGCTTGCTCCTCCCCTGACCCTAATCATTAAAGCCCAGTGTCCCCCCACCCCTGCTGCCCACAGCTCAGTCCTCCCACCCCATCGCACGCAGCAGTCCCCGCGCCCTGGGCTCCCGCCCCCTCTCTAACAGAAAAGTGGGGCGTGGTGGCCCACGGGCCCTGGTACCAGAATCTTCTTGTGCAGCCGCTGGCAGCTGGGACAGGCAGGGGCCAGGCCCCTCTGCTTCACCTCGTCCACCAGCGGGGTCAGGGCACGTTCCAGCAGCTGCTGCAGGGACTCCGTGGACAGCTGCTGCCCCTGGCTGCGGGAGGGGAGTCAGCAGGTGAAAGAGGCCCGGCACCAACTCCATTCCCAGGACGCCTACCGCCCAGCCTCCGCCCGGGCCCCTTTCCGCTGGGCACCCATGCAACCTCGCCACCCTGCACGGGGCCACCCTGCAGCGCCTGAGCTATCCTGTGGTTTCCGCAGCGTGGGAGTTCCCACAATGCCTGGGAGTCCCACTCCCCAAGGGCACCGATGGCCCTCAGTTCATCAAAAGCTCAGACTTCCCACAATGGACTGGTTTCATCTGATCCCACCTTGTATCGGAAGTCCTCCCCCTTCCTAACAGGACCCGAACATGGTGTCCCTGGGCGCTCTGATGAACCAAGGTCTCACCTCCCCACCATGCACCCCTAAACCCAGCCTCCACCAGCGGTTCTCAACCTGTGGGTCGCGACCCCTTTGGCGGTCGAACGACCTTTCACAGGGGTCGCCTAAGACCATCCTGCATATCAAATATTTACATTACGATTCATCACAGTAGCAACGAAAATAATTTTATGGTTGGGTCACCACATGAGGAACTGTATTTAAGGGCCAGAAGGTTGAGAACCACTGTCACATCCCAATCTTCCCAGAATGCACTAGAAGTCTAGGTTGCTTGACTATATCAGGACTTTCTGGTGTTCCACAGGATACTGACTCCACGTGGGGAATGTGGCTCCCATAATGCACCAGGACTGCTGGTCCTACAGTACATGCCTGGGGTGCCCTCCCTCCCACTCCCGCCAACGCCCAGCTCCTTGCATGCTTTGTCTGTAAGAAATGCACGCCGGGAGCCAGGCCTGGGCCCCTTACCTGGTACAGCGGGTGCAGGAGCCTTGGGGGGCCCGCTCCAGGCTCATGGAGAGGTCGGAACTTCTGCGGGAGCTCTGAAACTGCCGCCCCAGCTCCTCCAGAATCGGCTTCACAGGGCCCAGGCCCTCCAGATCGCTCCTCAGCGAAGCCACGGACACGGCTGACCGCTCCACCCTGAAGCGGAACAATAGCCAGGGCTTCGAGGGCGCCCCTCCGAGCGAGGCTGTGCAAGTCTAATACCCCGCCCTGCCTGCCCCTCTCTGCTCTGATTGGCCCCTCCTTTTATGTTTATTTTTAAAAATTAAAAATTTTATTTTGTTAATCCTCACCCGAGGATATTTTTTTCATTGCTTTTTAGACAGAATAGAAGGGAGGTAGGGAATGGGTGAGAGAGAGAGAAAGAGAGAGAGAGAGAGAGAGAGAGAGAGAGAAACATTGGTTGCCTCCCACATGCACCCCCACGGGGGCCAGGGATCAAACCTGCAACCCAGGTACATGCCCTTGACAGGGAATCCGACCTGAGACCATTTGGTGCTCAGGCTGAGGCTCTAACCATTGGACCACTGACCCGAGCTCCTTTTATGTTTTTATTTTTTTTGTAGGCTTTTTTAAAATATATTTTTATTTATTTCAGAGAGGAAGGGAAAGCGAGAGAAACATCAATGATGAGAGAGAATCATTGATCAGCTGCCTCCTGCACACCCCTCACTGGGGATGGAGCCTGCAACCCGGCATGAGCCCTTGACCAGAGTCAAACCTGGGACCCCCAGTCCGCAGGCCAACGCTCTATCCACTGAGCCAAACCAGCCGGGGCCTTTTATGTTTTTAGGGCGGAAAGACCCCTCCTTGTTCTCCAATGGGCTCTCACCACGCCTACTTGGCTCCTCCCTTTGTCCTTTTAAGGTGTGGGAAACCGTCTCTAATTGGCCCCGCCCCTCAGGCCTTATTAGGGATGGCCAGCCTCTTCCTATAGGAGCTTCCTCGTGTCAGTATCTGGTCGGGCCCTCTTGGTCCCAGCTGATTGGTCCGCCGCCTTCCCTCGAGGCCCCGCCCCCCCGGGCCCCGCCCCGCG